CACTTTATCACCTGGATTAGATCAAAGCGTATTCATGTCAGGATGCTTCAGCCCAGATTGAATATGTCGATGTTTCATCTGAATGTTTGGATTCTCTGACGATGCACAGCGAGCTGATTGTTGCCCAGAATGACGCTCCGTTCGTCCTGCCCCAGCGCTGCCCTCCATGGTAAATGACTGCAGGTTTGTATTTATTGCAGCTCATCGAGCTGTTTGTGTGCAGACTGACATGTTGAGCCTCACTTCAGCCGCTGCCATGGAAATTATATTGAACAGATCAACAGGAATCGCTGGCCTGAGTAGCAGCGAATCAACAGAACCTCCTCCAGAAACGACTTTGATCTGAACCTCATCGCTTGACGCTCATCTGCTGACTTTAATCTTAAGTAGCAGGTGGGAAAATTATTCAGATTTCATGTTTAGATCAAATTAAACTAATAGCAGTTTGAAGTCAGACTTCTAACTAAGTCTTTCCGCCTTTTTTATGTTTTCTTTCGTGGATTTTTAGGCCAAAAGCTCAGATTCAGAGTAGGTCTAATCTTTAAAATGTCTCTGAGAATGCAATCAGGTTGAAATTAAAATATTTTTAACATCTTTCAGTTTCTAAAGTACATGGGCTGTGCAGCCTCAGGATTATTGAACAGGATTTGCACAATATTCCTGTGAAATTTAACAACAAATTATTCTCAAAGGAAAAGCTACGTAAAACGCTGTTGGCTTGTGTTTTTAAAGCGTCCAATCCAGGAGCCCCATTCATTTTCCTCATCACTGATTGGCTAAACACTTAAGAGCTGGGAAGATGTTCGCTGCTGTCGTAGCACCAAAACTCCTTCTGCTGCCCATTATGTAACATATTAAGATATTTTAGAGTGTTAGCCGTTAACCAGTTATATGCATTTCAGATGGAGACTAAAGTATTCAGTTAACCAGGGAGTCCCTTGTAGTTGGGACACAAAATGACAGAAATTATTAAATTTGTGTATTTTCTGTCTCCAACTCTTGTGAGAAATTAAAACTCCTTTACAGAAATTCTCAAAGTTTTTGGAAAGGCATGAAAAATATGTTCCAACTTTAAGTTTCCTCTAATGAATTTCACATTCTGCTTGCATCCCAACTCGGTACATGATCTGCCGGTTTTGTAAAATACACTGCTCAAAAAAATAAAGGGAACACTCAAATAACACATCCTAGATCTGAATGAATGAAATATTCTCATTGAATACTTTGTTCTGTACAAAGTTGAATGTGCTGACAACAAAATCACACAAAAATCATCAATGGAAATCAAATTTATAACCCAACGGAGGCCTGGATTTGGAGCCACACACAAAATTAAAGTGAAATGTTCCCTTTACTTTTTTGAGCAGTATATATGAATCCAATGTTTTACTCAAAGGTTTCTACCAGCTACGTAAAACGCTGACGTAAAAAACCAACAGTTTTTATCAGAAGGATAAAAACTGTTGGTATTTCCCAGCTTGATTTTTTATCCATTGCCTGTCCATCCTTTTGATTCTTACATTGACCCATCTGTGCATACGAATGTTTGTCCATCAACCTCTCTGTGTGTCCGTCCTGCTTCCGGCTGTCCATCTTTGTCCATCCATCTGTCCAACCCTTGGCTGCGTCCTGCCGTTTGTCCATCATCTTGTTGGTCAGGGGGATTTTTGCTGGTTATCCTTTAAAGTGCAATCTCTGTTGAAAAATGTGCTGGAATGAATTTTTCTTTTTTCACTTTATAAAATGAGTCAAGCGTCGATGTAGGTCTTTAGAGTCCAAAAAAAAAAAAAAAGGTAAGAGATTTGATCCTTCCTGACGCCAAAATCTAGAAGTTTTTTTTTTTCAGTGACTCAAATGTTTTACAGTGGTCATAAAACAAATTAATATCAATTCAGGTAGAAAAGTATGATATGAAAACCTGATAAAAGGACAAATTAATGTGCTCATAGAAACTCTAATCGGTTAACTTTGAGTTTTACAAAAAAAATAATCTGGAGATAAGAGAGCAAACTCAGCCTTTTTGCTTTACTAGCAACAAACTTTATGAAAGAGGAGTTTGATCACATCATACAGACAAGTTGAAGCAGAAGAGTTTCTGTCCTTGGGGGTCATCTGCAGGGTCACAGACAATTTTAGTGGAAACATGGTTTACTCATGTAGCACTATTTAAAGTGTA